ATGCATGTACCTGCGGGGGAGGCAAGAGGAAAGACGCTAGAAGGAGCCGTGGCCGGCACAGACCTTCCAGAGGGCTTCACCTCTTTCTTGGAATCCGTCGCCAGCGGCTAAGAACAGCCACAAACGGGCCTGGGGGGGGGGGACATTCTATCCCAGCCCTCTCTATGACCTCTCGATCTTCTACGGAGATTGTGGCGCAACGGGGCCTGCGTCAGCTGGCGGGCCCCGGTCTGCCCACCCCTCCTTTGCCTGGCACCTGAAGGGGCAGTTCTTCTCCACTACCTCCGGGTATTGCTGCCACCACTGTCCCTGTCTTGGGCTCTGGCTAGGCCGGACAGTCTCTTAACCTCCCTCCGGTGTCGCCAGGAACCCGCCTCGGGGCTTCCTGGCAATCTTCGGGGCTCTCCTAGAGAGTTGGCAACTGGCTGTTTTGTCCCCTGTTCTCCTCCTTGGGGAGTCCCCAACCCACCCCTAGCGTGTCCAAGCAGCTGGAGGAACTACGCGGTGCAGAGGGCCTTCTCGCCCCCAGCAGTGAAAGGATTTATTTGAAGACTCAACTATTTACGGGCGTGTTAACAGTGAAGGGAAGAATAAAAAATAAAGGTGATAAAACCGCTCCATCGCTCCCTTCTCTACACGCAGGCCCTGTCTGGGTGGTCTGCAGGTCCGACCCATCACTTCCATGTCTCCCCACAGGGCCTCTGCCTCCTCCTGCAGACGCCAACCAAAACTCTGACTGGCTCCAGACTTCTGACTTGAACTGGCCTCCCGCCCCAAACTCCACACTATATCAAACAGCCGTTTCCCTCCCAGGAACTGGCCCTCCCTCCTGCAGCATTCTGGGGCAGATCTCCTCACCACCAATGGAGACTTGTGAGCAGAAATTCTACTTTGTGAGCTACTGGCATTAAAATTGTGAGTGAGCCATTTGGCTGCTGCATAAATCAGTTTGCTCTGGAGCCCTCCTTCCTGAGCGAAGACAAAAATCTGTGAGCTGGAGGCCAAAAAACTGTGAGCTAGCTCACACTAACTCAGTTTAGAGGGAACACTGCTCACCACCATGATGGACTTTCTGTCCTCTCGAGGGAGCTGCCCTCAGACGGCTGGTTGGAGACCGGGGGGGGGGGGGGGGAGACTAGGCCCAGGCCTACCCCAAGTTTGATGGCCTCCTCCTATCCAGCCCACACCCACTCAAACACATATCTAAAACGGCGTTTCTCCACAAAGATCATTTAGGCGGAGCACCACGGCGGCCTGCAGTGGAAGAACAAGGTTTGCCCAGCAGCACCCCAAAGACTGGCAAGATTCTCACGGTGTCAGCCGGGGGTCCCCAACATGGTGCCCAAGGGCGTCTCTCCCGGCGCCCGACATGTGCTTTCAGAAAGTGGGAGGGGCACTCCTGTTCAACAGAGTTTCTGCCTGATGTGTTGAAGAGTTCCTATGACAGTTATAGATAACCTCGCTCCCTGGCATTTTGTGCGTGGCTCCACCTCCCGCCACCGCCATTTTTTATTGGCTCCACCCAGGGCTCTTTTTGTAGCAGGAACTCCTTCGCATATTAGGCGACACACCCCTAATGTAGCCAATCCTCCAAGAGTTTACAGAGCTCTTCTTACAGGGGCTACTGTAAGCTCTTGGAAAACTGGCTACATTAGGGGTGTGTCGCCTAATAGGCAAAGGAGTTCCTGCTACGAAAAGAGCCCTGGGCATCTCCACCTCCTGGTCGGTCTCTTGGGTGCTGCTGGACAAGAATCTAACTGGACGAAAGGCAGGTCAGCATCCTTCACTCTAAAACTACCCTCTTCTAAAAAGACAAGAAAAGAGAGAAAGGAATCAGTGGCTGCCTCTTAAAAATCGAAAAATAAATTCCCATTCCCCCCCCCCCAAAAAAAAACAATGCTACTTTTTCCTTCGGGATGTGCCTGGCCACTTGGCGAGTCACCATCTCTAAAGTGCACTTACATTTAGCCGACTATACGTGCTTAGCCACTTAATGTATTGATCAGTTAAAGAGCCGGTGAGTCGTCACTTAAAAATACGTTAGACGGCGGCCCTAATTCTGAGCTCAGTCTATTAAGCTAAATTCAGGAACTGGGAGCACAACGGCCAGGACCAGGAGAAATGCACGGCTAGCCCCAGCGGCCTGTCTGTGGCTCTCTAACACCATCCCGCAGGGGAAAGGCACGAGGCTTTCAAGAGCATGTTACGCAAGTGCACGCGGCCCTGTTACGCATAGGAGAAAAAGTCACAACGTCTCCTTGGCAATGCTCCCTCTAAGCTGTGGAGTCTTGTGAGCAAAAATTCTACTTTGTGAGCTACCGGCACGAAAGTTGTGAGCGGGAAATTGGGTACTGTGTAAATTTAGTTTGCTCTGGAGCCCTCCTTCCTGAGCTAAGACAAAAATGTATGAGCTGGAGGCTAAAACACTGAGCTTGTTGTTGTTGTTCAGTCGCACAGTCGAGTCCGACTCTTCCCGACCCCATGGACCAGATCCCGCCAGGCCCTCCTGTCTTCCACCGTCCTCTGAAGTTGGCTCAACTTCATGTTCGTTGCTTCTATGACACTGTCTGACCATCTCATCCTTTGCCGTCCCCGTCTTCTTTGACCTTCAATCTTTCCCAGCCTCAACACTGAGCTGGCTCACACTAATTCATCTTAGAGGGAACACAGTCCTTGAGGGCACCTATAGCGGCCCCCGGAAGCCCTGGGCTTGTGCACACAAGAGACTTCTCCCCCAGAGAGAGACAGCAACCGTTCCAAAACCACCCATGAAGGAAGATTTGAACCCAGGCCTCCTTGGTGCTGATGCTACACCAGAAAGGCTGTTTGCCTACTTCAGGTGGGCCTTCTCCACTTGCTTCCCCTCCCCCCACCGTCACTTCTGGGGCTGGCAGGAGAGCAGAGCTGGAGAACGAAAAGATGTTAGGCTAGGTAACGACGTCACACCTGGGCAAACGCCTTGAATCATAGAGTGGGAAAGGACCTCCAGGGTCATCTAGTCCAACCCCATGCACAATGCAGGAAATTCACAAATTCCTCCCCCTCCACACCCGCAGTGACCCCTGCTCCACGCCCAGAGGCGATAAAAAACCTCCAAGATCCCTGGACAAACTGGTCTGGAGAAAAACTGCTTCCTGACACTGGACTTCCTCACTCCCGGACAAAGTGGTCCTTTCCGCACTAGACCTTAAATCCTGGTTCAACCCTGTCCCTGAACTTACATTCTACACTACACGTGAGTTCACCCCTGTAATTATCTCAGGGTATTTTTTTTTCCACATTACACTGAGGTCACCCCGGTTTCGCCCCACGCTTGTCCCGGGATAAACGGATGCTGTTATAACCAGGGATAAATGCAAGGTCTTGTGTCCCGAGTTGAATTCTCATAAAACCAGGGATGAGATCCAAGTGCGGAAAGGACCTCAGCTGCTGCTCTTGTGGTATTACCAGTTTGGTGTTGTGGTTAGGAGCGCAGACTCTGATCTGGGAGAACCGGGTTTGATTCCCCACTCCTCCACATGCACCTGCTGGTGTGACTTTGGGTCAGTCACAAGTTCTTTCAGAGCTGTCCTCTCAAGGACAGTTCTCGGGAGAGCTCTCTCAGCCCCACCTACCTCACAGGGTGTCTGTTGTGGGGAGCGGAAGGGAAAAGAGACCGTAAGCCGCTCTGAGGCTCCTTCGGGTAGTTAGGGGTGGGGTATAAATCCAATCTCTTCTTCTTCTTCCTCTTCTAGAGCATCAGCTGAGGTCATGTCCGGGTTCTAGTGGCAACAGTACGTCTCGCCCACCCCTTGCCCCACACTCAACCTTCTGGGGCTGCCGGCCAGCTGCCTAGCACTGGTGCCCTACACTCCTAACCCCAACCCAGCGTCCACACAGTCTCCACTACCTGTGGGACACGTTGATGATGTCCCTCGTCCGCAGATGCTGCTCCTCCACCTTCCCGGCCAGGTACAGAGCCGCCATGGCTACCAGGTAGGGGTCGTAGGATTCCAGAGGCACCTCCGTGAAGAAGCGGTGATAGATGCTGCACGCCGTGGCAACAGGGATGGAGCGCAAGCCCAGCTTCACACCTGTGGGGAAGGGGAGAGAGTCAGTCGGCCTCCTGTACGAGGCTGGAAAGAGCCCGTTACGGGGCACCGCCCGGCTTGACTGCAGGGTGACCGGACCGCGGAGACGGCACGCCGTTGAGGGCCAGAGCATGGAGGGGAGACATCAGAGCCTTACTCTCTCTCTCTCACCTGCCTCCATGATGAACCTGCAGACTTTGAAGTGCGTCCTGGCGTCGGGAGGTATCCGGCTGGCCTCCTGCAGCACGGTGGGATCCATGAGCGTTGACCCGCCCCGAAGCATCTGCACAAGCAGAAGGAGCCCGGTCAGATTCATAGAACCATAGAGTTGGAAGGGACCTCCAGGGTCGTCGAGTACAACCCCCTGCACAATGCAGGAAACTTAACCTCCACACCTTCAGTGACCCCTGTTCCATGCCCAGAAGATGACAAAAAACCTCCAGGATTGCTTCCTGACCCCAAAGTGGCGATCAGCATTTCCCTGGGCGTGTAAGGAGCATGAGAACTAAGCACTGAGGTGTGTAAGGAACACGAGAACTAAGCACTGAGGCAACCCTCCCTGCCCTCCTTTTCTCGTGCTCTGCCTAAGCTCACAGCATCAGCGTTGCTGTCAGACGGCCATCTAGCCTCTGCTTGAAAACCTCCACAGGAGAGCCCACCCCCTCCCGAGGAAGCGTGCTTTCACTTAGTCGGCCCCCTTTGCTCCCCGAACAAGCCAAGTTCTCCACAGTGCCCCGTAGGACACTGCTCCTCGAACCCTGTTTATTAAATCTTGGGAAAAGAATTAGAATCATAGAGTTGGAAGGGACCTCCAGGGTCATCTAGTCCAACCCCCTGCACAATGCAAGAAAGTCACACACACACACAGTGACCCCTGCTCCATGCCCAAAAGATGGCAAAAAAACTCTCAGTGACCCCTGGGCCAAACTGGCCAGGAGAAAAATTGCTGCCTGACCTCAAAGTGGTGATTGGCCTTTCCCTGGGCGTGCAAGATCGGGCCACGAGTACTGAGCACTGATGCAGCCCTTCCTGCCCTCCCTCTCACAATCTGTCCAAGTTCACAGAATCAGCATTGCTGCAAGATGGCCATCTAGCCTCTGTTTGAAAACCTAAAAAAAAAAAAAAGGAGAGCCCACCACCTCCCAGGGAACTGGGACTCAAATTCCCTTCCCCTTGGTAGTTCTGTGCAGGCTGCAAGCTAGCACTGCCACAGATACGGAGGAAACTCTGCCCTTCTGCCAAAAAATATCTGGGTTTGGTAGAAGTCATGAAGGTCTTGAAAATATTAAAAATCCAAAAGATTAGCAGATCATGGGAGGCAAAAAAAGTTGCCCACCCCTAACTGGGGTACAATACGAAATCCCTAAAGCATCATCGCTGTCCATTTCCATCACAACAGGACATAATTGCTGACCCAGCATGGAGACTAGGGTCTGGAAGACTGGCCACTCGGCTGTGAAGCTTGCTGGGTAACTTGGGGAACAATGACCTCTCAGGCACAGTCTTACCAACCAACGCTCCCTCTAAGCGGTGGAGTCTTGTGAGCAAAAATTCTACTTTGTGAGCAGTGTTCCCTCTAAGCTGAGTTAGTGTGAGCTAGCTCACAGTTTTTTAGCCTCCGGCTCAAGCATTTTTGTCTTAGCTCGGGAAGGATGGCTCCTGAGCAAACTGATTTATGCAGTAGCCAAATCACTCGCTCACAGCTTTAATGCCAGTAGCTCACAAAGTTGAATTTTTGCTCCCTGGACTCCACAGCTTAGAGGGAGCATTGTTTGTGAGCCGCTGGCATTAAAAGTTGTGAGGGAGCGGTTGCTGCATGAATTAGTTGGCTCTGCTGCATGAATTAGTTGGCTCTGGAGCCCTCCTTCCTCAGCTAAGACAGAAATGTGTGAGCTGGGGGCTAAAAAACTGTGAGCTGGCTCACACTAACTCAGCCTAGAGGGAACACTGTTGCCAACCTCCAGGTAGGCCCTGGAGATCTCCCGGAATTTCAACTGATCACCCAACGACATAAATTAGTTCCCCTGGAGAAAGCGTCCTCTCTGGAGGTCTGTCTCCCCACAGGGCAAACCCCACTCCCACCTGGCTCCAACCCCAAATTTTCCAGGAACTTCCCAACCCTGAGTTAGGCAAACCCAACCTACTCACACAGCCTACCTCACAGGGCTGGTGTTGCAAGAAGGAAGCAAAGGTCCACCCACCCCCAAATAATTCCATAGGCTCTATTCAGCACCAACCACATATGACATCATCATATGTGACATCATACCCAGCCACGTTACCTTACAGCCACCCCATTTTTACACCCCCCCCTGACGTCACTCCGCCTCAGAACAGCCTTTGGACGCTTTGACGTGACGTCACACGCAGAGCCGCCGACGTCATCGCCCGACGCTCGCCTCCGCGGGGACGCGTCGCGCGGCCGCGACTGACCACCCAGCCTATCGGCGCCGAGCGTCGCGCGGGGTCATGTGACCTCTCACCCAATCAAGCGCGGCTAAATGGCCTCCGGGCTCCTCATCAACGGGAAGGGGGGGGAGGTCCGAGGCTCCCGCGACGAGCCTCTCAATACCCGGATGTCTCCTCAGCCGCCCGACTAGGGAGCCGCATTAGGGCTTCGGTGGCAGCACTTCCGGGTTGAGGGTTCTTTCGGCCCCATGACAGAAGCCTGTCGACCGCCCAATCGGGAACGACCCCCTCGCGCCCTAAGCAGTCGCTCGCGCACGCATGGATCGCTTTCCCTATCGGAGTTTGCTCAGGCAACTGAGACGGGCAACCCCTCTCGGGAGGCCCTTCCTGAGGCAGGCTCAACCACGATTGGCTATTGGCGAACGAAGCGAGGGAAGGGCAGGCAAAGATCCCTCTGATTGGGGCCGTGCGTCGGCATCCAATAGGAAGGAAGCATCGATGGCTTGCCTTTGCCCCTGATTGGAGGAGCGGGCTGAACAGGCCAATCACTGGACGCCGAGCTCTCAGTAGGCGGCCTTTAAAACATTGAGTCTCGGAATTAGCCAATCAGTGGGGAGCAAAGCTGGAGGGCGGGGTAGCCAGGTATGTTTGGAAGGAGAAGACAATTTAATGGGTGTACTGTAGGGTTGCCAACTCCAGCCCGGAAAATTCCTGGATATTGGGGGATAGCGTCCGTGGAGGGGGAAATTTGGGAAGGGCTATCACCTAGAATCTAGTGTTTGAGCTCTGAAGCTGCCATTTCCTTCAGGGCACCTGATCTCTGTTGTCTGGAGATCCACTGCCATTCCGGGAGCACTCCAGGCTCCCCCTGGAGGTTGACAACCATACTTCTGAGTAGAGAGCGTCCTGCACCAGGTTTTGGTGCTAGGTTAGACCAGGTCTGTGTTATTTGTATTCATTTAAAGAGAGCCAGTTTGGTGTAGTGGTTAAGAGTGGCTGACTCTAATCTGGGAGAACCGGGTTTGATTCCCCACTCCTCCACATGCAGCTGCTGGTGCGACCTTGGGTCAGTCACAAGTTCTCTCAAAGCTCTCTCAACCCTACCTGCCTCACAGGATGTGGGGAGAGGAAAGGAAGGAAAGGAGTGGCTTACAGAGTGTAAGCCACTCTGAGTCTCTGAGTGAAGAGCGGGGTATAAATTCTGTCTCCTCTTAGCCAGTTTGGTGTAGTGGTTAAGTAGGTGGAGTCTAATCTGGGAGAAGTGGGTTTGAATCCCCACTCCTCCACTTGCGGCTGCTGGATGACCTTGGTTCAGTCACAAGTTTTCTCAGAGCTGTTATCTCAAGAAGAAGAAGAGATTGGATTTATACCCCGCCCTTCACTTGGAGTCTCAGAGCGGCTTACAAACTCCTTTCCCTTCCCCTCCCCAACAACAGACACCCTGTGAGGGAGGTGGGGCTGAGAGAGCTCTTTCGAGGACTGCTGGTGAGAGAACAGTTCTGAGAGGACTTGTGACTGACCCAAGGTCACACCAGCAGCTGCATGTGGGGGAGTGAGGAATCAAACCCAGTTCTCCCGGGACAGTGGAAATCTGGCACAGCTATCTATTTGATTTTATACAGTCAGACATCGCGGCAGTCCTGCGCAAGGAGGCACCCTGGGAAGGGAAATCCGCAGAAATTTGGAAAAGGTGGAGGACTTATCTGGAGTGGATATCCAAGGAGGGAAGGGAAGACATTCGGTGGAAGATCTTGACTTTGTGCCCGTGGCTGGAGAGAAAAGACTAAGGACTACACGAAGATAGGGAAGGGAGGAGAGAGGGAAGGGGAGGGGAGGAAAAATTGTAAGATGCTAAATAATATGGAATGTAAAAGTGATGGATAAAACAAATAAAAATTAATCCAAAAAAAACCAAACCCCAAACCCAGTTCTCCCAGATTAGAGTCTGCGCTCCTAACCACTACACCAAACTGAGGAAGGACCTCAGTGGATTATAATTTTTGGAAGAGAAGGCCTACAGAAGCTGTCTCAAGCCTCAGCCTCTAAAGGAGGGGGGTTTCAAAACAGTCAGTGAGATCGGCAAACTCTGGGTTTTTCTTCCCGTTTACTCTCCTGCCTCTGTCTTTTGAAGCAGACTGATAGATTACAGGGAAATTGCCCACCTTCCTTCCGTCCTCCTCTCACACACTCTTCTCTCGCACACATCCATGATGGAGGCTGGATGCCTTTCTGCCTCCAGACCCATCCAAGATACAGTGTCTAGGACAGGGATGTCGAACTCATTTCTCATGAGGGCCAGATCTGACATCAGTGAGACCTTGCTGGGCCGGGCCATGTGTGCCATAAGATGTAATGCCAGGTAGCGGAGATATCAACTTTATAAAGGATAAATACACAAAGATTTTTTTTAACTTAAAATAAAAACATGCTTAAAACATTAGCTCTGTAAGCTGCAAACCTACTTTTGATTTATCGACATTCACCACGGAAATCTCGTGCTCAGAGTTCTGAGTCTAGGACCCAGGTTAAAACATGAAATGGCTGAGTGAGTGAGAGAGACAGGCGAAGCAAGCCATGATGCAGCGGCAACAGGAGAACTGGAAGCAGGAGATGGCCGGTTCCACTGTGGGCCTGATGGAAGCCCTCCGGGGGCCTGATCTGGCCCCCGGGCCGCATGTTTGACACCCCTGGCCTAGGCCTTCTCTTCCAACAGTAATGCCACAGGGTCTGCCTTCCAAAGCGGCTGTTTTCCCCATGGGAGCTGATCTCTGAAATCTGGAGATCAGGTGTAATTCCAGGTGATCTCCAGGCCCCATCTGGAGGTTGGCAGCCCTCAAAGGGGGGAAGGAGGAGCCACACACGTCTCTTGGAATAAAAATGTGATCGAGAAAGCACTCCCCGGAGGTAACCGTCAAGTGGCAGCCAACTTATGGTGACCTCATGGGGTTTTCAAGGCAAGAGAAAAGCAGAGGTGGTTTGCCCTTGCCTGCCTCTGCATAGGAACCCTCAACTTCTTTGGTGGTCTCCCATCCAAGGCCGACCCTGCTTAGCTTCTGAGATCTGACTAGATCGGGCTAACCTGGACCACTCAGGTAAAAGCAAGAGACAAACTGAGGTGGTTTCATAGAATCATAGCATTGGAAGGGACCTCCTGGGTCATCTAGTCCAGCCCCTTGCACAACGCAGGAAAATTCAGAAATACCTCCCCCTCCACAAATACCTGCCTCTGCGTAGCAACCCTGGACTTCCTCGGTGGCCTCCCCTCCGAGTACTAACCAGGGCCGACCCTGCTTAGCTTCTGAGATCTGATTAGATTGGGGCATCGTGGACATGGCAAGAGACACAAGGTTTTGCCCTTGTTGTAGATATTAGATTCCATGTCAAAAATGAAGTCAAATGAGGAGGAAGATCTATGTTTTATTTCAATTAAGAGAAAAACAATTGGACCAAATAGTCCATCCAAAATTGACTACTTTCTTCTCAGCATATTCAGGAAATATGCTTCAATTAATAGGAAAACAATTAGACCAAATAACTCATCAAAAACTGACAACTTTCTTCTTTTCCTTCTTCATCGTCTTCTTGAACCTATTCTGAACATATTCAGGAAATACACAATATTTTACACATGGACTGACATCACCAAGAAAACAATATTCAAAAGACAGGGGCATCGTGGACATGGCAAGAGACACACAGAGGTGGATGGCCCTTGTTGTACATATTAGATTCCATGTCAAAAATGAAGTCAAATGAGGAAGA